GCCAGGCGTTCCCAAGCCATCACGGTAAAGAAAACTGTGGAAACCCCGAACCGAGCAGCCATTGCGAAGGATAGAAATACGCCTGGCTCCACCACCAATATCCTTTTGTCCAGTGTATCGACTGATGCAACCTCGGTAACGCCCACACTTCCGATTGACCGACAGAAACCAAACCTTTCCAAACATCGATCTAATTATGCAACGATTACCACTCGATATAATTAAAGTATGACTCCAGTAGCTTCAGCCATTGTAGCCACAACTCGTGTCAACGACCAGATGCAAACTGTAAGTACCTCGCCAATGCCACGCACTACCTCACCCTCCACATCATCGGAAACTAGATGGAACTACAATGCCTTAACACTCAAATGCACTAAAGTAACTGAGTCCAAGCCAAAACATTTAAAAAGGAAAAAGCAGGAAGATCTGAAGCAGTGTTATTGTGTTTGTGATCGGATCGGTGTTCGTGCCACACCGACTAACTTAACGCGCATCGCCAAACATCGAAAGTCGCTACATTACATCTAATGCGATTAACAATGGACAATGAACAATGATTTATCACGGGTAAAAAGCATGTGATGACAAGTCCCTTAGGGTGGTTGGAGTGAAAATAAAGCTGAAAGGATCAACGGATAAGTAAATCGTCATTTTAAGCATCTAAAGATTTAAAGACACCTGCATAACCATAACTCCTATAGAGACATATCGATGACTGACGTAAAGTGAAACGCGAAATGCCGGCACTGGTTACGACTGACAATTCCACGCGATTAGCATTGGAAACAGCCGACCTCTTGCGATTTCATTGCTCCCATACGTTCCATCTGGTGACGAGAGAGGTTATAGAGGCAGCTGCGAAGACAGCCAACCTGCACGTTGGCCATCAATCTTTCCAATGGTGCGCAAATCTTACTAGCGCTCTCAAGCTGAATACACAATCCAAATGAACGTTAAAAATTCACGCAATATCTGCTATTGGCAAACGCTGAAGTCACTGAGAGTTTTCAGTGGACGCTGCCGAAGGCTGGGACCGACCACATATAATGGTACCAAATATTATGTGACCCTAATCATGTATGCCGTACTTAGTGAAACAGCTGTAACACCAACCTAAGAGGCAACAGCCGGAAACAGTGAACAGTACACCTGTCTAGAATGCCGACTGAATTAGTTTCCTCCTTTTTGCCAAAACCGTAACAAATCCCCAAACTCAGTTGTCTTCTCCCCTAATTTGGTGGCCGTAGGGCCTTAACTGTATTCTCGGTGGTCTGAACACATCCGTTTACAGAGATGAATGGGGGAACGAAGCGCTTCACTTCCTAGAGACTGTTTACCAGTCTGTACAGAAGTTGGTTCTTAACAGGAAACCTATCGAAGATGCGCTGCTGGTCTACCACAGTCGAACCCGCTTTATTTCCCACAATTGGGATATATCAAAAGTGGGCAATAAAGATGGATGGACAAGTAAACCATACTGCCATGTTTTCCAAAAGGGAAACACCCATTGAATTATTGTACAGTAAAACTGTTATGGGGGACCCGACGTCCCTATACTTATTACAGGTCTAAATTACGGAAGGCTGAAAACCCGATTCACTCAAGTGGACGTGTACTCGGATCAGACAAAACGCACACGTTCAATCAGCCTTCCAACTCGTGAAACATTCACATTGTTAGCCTTTGCACCCAGAGACAGTCTTGTTTCCAACCAAACACGCATTGTTGTATCCAAGCAACATCCATTTTTCCGGACAACTCTCGCCAAACTTCCAACATTTCTGCTCAGTTTACGGACTTTGCATATTTACATCAAACCATGTTTCTTGTTTCCAGGGTTTGCTTAAGCAAACCCTTCTGAGGGAAAACCCCCCTTCATCACCGTTTCGTGATATAAAAATGAGGCTGTACAACGCTAGAATCGTCTTAGCTTTGGCCAGTAGAAGCGCCTGTGGCAAAAGGCCTGTCTCGTTCTTGATTCAGTCTTGGGTTGGGAAATCGTGCGTAGAAACTTTGCGTTCGGTCTAGGAACCCGTTCGACTCGCCTGAATTAAATTTTCGCGGCTATGTTCCGAGAATTCACAGACTTCGAGATTTGTCAGTTACCGTGCTGTACGAGAAAATAATTCTGAGTCTCCTTCGTTCATCCAAAGAGGAGAGTTGGTATCACCTTGTTAGAACCTGACGTATTCAAGTGGCAGTATCCAACAAAAACACTTGACTGTAAAGGGCTAAGAAGGATAAAATACGAAATTATAACTAAAGTATACACGAGAGATTCATTCAGAGAACCATATAATTTAAAAATTATAGCATAAGGTATCTTATCTGGCTGGCTATAGTAACTGGCGCTACTGCATACTTTTGCTGCGAAAACAATCCAAGCTCGGTTGGGACTTATTGTAAGCTGCTACTCCAGGCACTATTGCAATGTTGAAGTCCAATTTGGACAAGAACACCTTATCTAGTCCATGAAAAGTTCGTAGCTATACATATTATTCACACAGCTCTTTGCTCTTGAATGCGAAACGCGGTGATTGCTGCTACTCACGGAGGAATCCGGCACGTCATCCTCTCAGTCACTGCCTGCTTTCTGTTCTGGTTGGTTCGCTAAAAATTTACTGACGACTTCATCTTCAGCAATTGTCAGACCTGAGGAACATTGCACATCGTTGTCAAAGGCGACGAACTCTTCTGCATTGGTGACTGGAATTGTGCAAGCACGGATCTTGTCCTCAGCGATGACGGCGTCATCAGAAAGCGCATCGGATGCCAGTCAACTGAAGATACCATACTGAAAGCAAACTTTTATTGTTGCACCGGTAACCTGTCTCCCAATTTTAAAACGTACTACCTTGCACTGAGTACAGAAACCTTGGTGCTGACATCCACCGCAGATGATGAGCCAGATAAGATGTTGTTTTCTATGTGATACAGAACTTGGTCCACGATTTCCTTTCTGCCACGGATTTTTAGATTCATACTCATACCTTGGTCCATGGGTTGAAGAATGCTAGTCATGTTTGCCGGTGAAAATTCCATTTGCATGTTTTTCAGGCCTTCTACTTGTGGATGTGCTGTGTGATTATCCAAGAGCAACATAATTTGTCGGCCAATTTGGCCCAGCTCCTTGTCCCACTCGGCGAGAAGTTATTTCGTCATCTACGCATTTTTGTTAGTTCTGTAAGTTATGGGAAGTGTGTCCACATTCACATCATTAAAACATCGTGCCTCCTTAATTTTGTCCGTCAAAACCGTGTCTGACATATTTGCGCAGCCCGGGAGAGCGATCTTATCCATGACTATTTTTGATCCGCTGCACTTGTCGGCAGAAAAACAAAACTTGCCCTTTAGAAATGCCCTGGCAAAAGACCTGTTTCCTTTGTATTTTACAGCTTGTCATCATCAAATAAATTTAAATGTTCAGGCAGTCGATCTTGCAGCTAATTTTCACAGACTGCTCTGTCCGCGGAACATATTTGCTATGTGCACGTTTATACACAATTTGGTTTCTATTCTTCTATCGTTGCAACCATCCTTCTATGGCAGCAAAGGTTTCTCCAAATCATTCCCCGAATTCTTCTGCCGTTTCCTTCAGAAGCGGGTCTGTAACTGTTTGGTTGCGCTGACAAACCGATATCATCCAGTCTTTCAATGCGGTTTCAACTTCTTCATCCTTTCCACATAGCTTCCTTTTCTGAGTACTTGCAGTGCCATGTAACAAATTCTGTCAGAGTTCCTTTTCGCTGGCATTCAACCTGGGTAGGATACGACAAGAAATGTGTAAATCACGCGACAACTTGGCCTGCACGGTTCTCGGTATACAAGTCTTAGTTTCGTCTAAAACATTCGACTTTTCTGTCAAGGAAAAATCCTTTCTATTATTGACCATACTCGTATGTAACCAACGGAGTACTGACAAATGTGAAGCAGAAAGATTATCCGAATTTGCACACAACCGTCCGTAAATTTGGCTTCCTCTTGTACTGAATGACGTAAGTAACTTCCAAACTGTCAATAACGCCGCCGACATTTTCCTTGTTTTAGAATCGATCGGATTGGCTAGCTGCGGGGCTAGCTGTGCGGAATAAAGGCGTAAAATCGACAAAGCGACAAGAATACAATACAGGCAGCCGAGCAATCAAACAGCGGGACGACGCCGGCAATGGGCAATTAGATGGTGAAAATTTAACGTATTTGTGAGACAAGAACTTGTACTTTGAAAAACTGCGCAATAAAGCGGGGTGAGCTATAAAGCGGGTGGGCAATAAAGCTGCTTAGACTGTAATTTGTCCTCACGTATAAGTGGGAAACGAGGATCTCGATGCACTACATATTTGTTCCAGTTTTCAGGATTTAGGTTTGCTCTGTGTACACTCCAAACTGCGTCACTTAACGTCGCGTGTATTCGTGTTCGTCTCGGAAGGAATGATGGAGCTGTTGCAGAAGGAAGGGGCTTGCTTTCGGATGTGGTTATCATCAGATCACTGAACTTGCCAGTAAAGTGTAGAGTTCATGGCATAAAGAAAATTTGGATGAACCCAGGTACAGCACATAGTTACGGTTACTGGACTTATCTACATGACACACTGCCAGAGCTGGCATGGCCTAAACGATTGAGAGTTGTAGTCGTACGCACGAAATTTTACCCGACGAGCATTTATAACCAGAAACATGTGGAGTTTTATTTCGTGACATGGAAAACAACTTGTGTTGCTTCACGGTAGTTCTTCGCTCAGTATCACCGGAACAAGTATAACGCGTCTGTATTTCAGCTGGTGTCGCACGGTAGGTTGATGGCGACCATCTAGCCAACCGAATGATGCGCAAAAATTCGAATCCTCCGAATGGAGAGTGATTTGTTTCGGCTATCCTGCAACGTGATCGCAAGGTCACATTGTGAATAGAAGGCAATTCTGGCTGACCAATAGGCGACCTGACATTTTTCGATAGTCACATAGCAGCCAGTGACTGCACAGCTGAACAAGTTTATGTACAGACTTCTGAGTTCTACTGGCCGTGTCAGTCACATAGATTTTGGTTCAGTGATCGACAATATTCTGAGGGTTTACGATGCCGTTATAGCTAAACACACAGCGCGCGGGTGAATATCAAGCACCGATATGGCTTGTATCTGGTTACTTCTGCTGTTACTAATGGCAACAGCCAGATTACCGAGGCCAGTCAGTCGAATTTCACTTATTGGGTCATGGGAAATTCGTGACAGTAAGCAATCCACTTCCATCGAGGTGATATCCGGAGCCGATATGTTTTCAGCTCTATGGACTGCACGCATAATAAACGATCCGTTATCTGACCAACACGACAGCGAATATAGATCATATGCATGGGAAGATTGGACATTTCAACACATATTCCGAACAGCCCCTAAACGAACCCAAAATGAGGTCACTGAACTATGCTGCGATGGTGTGGACACCTTCTGTGATGTGGCTTTGAATGACATTATACTCGGTACTGGAAACAGTAGTTTTTTGTCTGTATGTTGGGATATCAGTCAGTATATTCGCACCGATGATACGAATGAGTTGAAACTTGCGTGCAAATCCACCCTTCAGACAGCAAATCGTATAGCGTCCGAGAGAAGAAGGCGTGGACAGCCCAAAGCTCCACCAGACTGCTGGCCAGATGAACTACATGGAGAATGTCACATCAATCTCGTACGTACCACACCGGCATCAACAGGTTGGGATTGGGGACCGGCATTTCCGATTCAGGGTTTCTGGCATCCACCGCGTTTGATCACCTCACCTTCGAATATTCGACTGGGGGAAGGGTTTAAATTCTACAGTTTTGTAAGCCAAAATACCAGTGATCAACTGTGGAGCGCCTACGCCAGTGTTGAAGTGCTCCGTCCATCAGATCGTAGAGTGCTGGATGGAAGTGAGACGCTATGCATCTCCGTGGTGCTTGATTCGTGGTCACCCCCGAACGGAAACACTTGCTTTGCAGTAGCTCAGAACGTGACACAGATAGATGTCATGGTACCAATTCTGACAAACAGTGAGGGAATAGAACCTTGGTGGCCCAACGGAATGTTTTCGGGTCCACGAACGTATGAACTATATTTAACTTTATCTACCACAGACGGATTCGTGTTGGACCGGGCGCAATATTCAGTGGGCTTTCGTGAAGTGCAATTAATTGAAGTAAGTCCAACTATGAAAGACGGAGCGAGCTTCGTCTTCATTTATTTTTGGTGCATCATAGTGACTGAAATTAGCACCACATTGTTTGTCAAAGCGGAAATTCCCTGAGATGATGGAGATGGGGCACTGTGAATCCAATGCAACGCGTGTCATTCTAAGAAAAGCGCCAGGCGTTAAACGGTGACTACTCATCCGACAAGAACATCCCAGTAGATCATATCCGTTGGTCTGTCGTTGACATTTCCGCCCTAACTTACTTAATACGGGTACTTACTAAAAGAGGACGGCATACGTCCAGGTTAACTAAATTATAATGAATTAATCAATTGTGTTGTCGAAAGCATCGCGCAAAATCACCACTCCGTCCCATCAGGGATGCATAGGACAGATTGAAGAGTTCACGCTGTTAGCTGGTAATTGAACATATCTACATTACCGACATGCTCCAGTGTAGATGTCGGCCTCCTTGCCACCGCAAAATTGCCTAAAGTCAACTAGGGACCGATAAGGTGGAGCAGAAGGAAGGGAAAACATTAATAGGGACGGTTGCCATCATCGCCGATAGTGCACGCTAAGTAAGTACCTACTTCGCGTATGTTCGTAAATTCTTTTCGTTTTGGTATAAGCAATTTATGGTCACTCCTCTGCACAAGCAAAATATAATGTCCTTTAATTGTTTCCTTCACAGTGTTAGACTATATAGTAAGTGTATCGATTCCAATCTGCTCAACAATAGAACAATGGTTTTATCCAAGTGAAAAGCTAAATCTTAAGAGATTCCTTAGGATGATTATGGTGACCATTCGAAATATTGTGAAAGTGTCAGCAAAAGTAGGTTCAACCACCAGTAGACTCACAGACAGATATGCATCCTTAACTGTAAATCCATTGTAAAATCATAAGGAACGTTGCCAAATTGGATGTTATTAACAATTGTGTCGTCTCCGGGTGAACACATACATGGAGTGAAGAAGGTGGAACGTATTCTGGGAGTTGACCGTCACTGAAATTTCTTACAGACACTTGTGTTTAGCCATGGGCAGTGAGTTATGTGATATAGTGCAGCGAAATAAGTACACGGTCAACTCGGGTTTTGAACACTACCAGCGTGGGAGCACAAATGACAGATTCCGCATTTTTTATTCATTCATGACACTTTACGAAAAGACTTAAATCCGCTATCATCTTAGCCAGGTGCTGGTCGGAAAATCGTGAAAACCGTTAACTACATCGAAATAATCACCATTGAAACAAGGATAAAAACGTAAGCGCTTACATATTGCGATCTTGGAAGCCAATCGCAGCAAGTGACTTCGGCATACAACACACTGTGCAGCGGCGCATTGCGGTCATGATGGTCGCTTGACATACGTGATGTTTCCATTGCGTATTTGCCAATCGGAAGTAATGCTGTTGGCACATAATGACTCAGGAGCCAAACGATGGCTTCTAGTTAAAGCTAAATACACCCGCAGTAACCCATACAATTATTTCCCTCCATAATGCTTAACATAGCAAGAATAACCAACCTTTCGCGGGGTAACCTAAATTCCGTTCAGTTCATGCATGCTCAATCAACTGCTAACATACGTAAAATAGGTGGGTTAAATGGATGTCAATGACAGAGGACCGGCAAGATCCATTAACTGGAAGCTGTAGTGATCGAGGTGATGGCTTCCACTGGAGGAACTTAAGCCTTACTGGATGCAGTCTAGGCTGACCACTGGGGGAGATTGTTCACATAGTGTTTCAGCGAACAGGAGTAGGTGTAGGGTATTTTGTCTACTGATGACTGATAGATTCATCGAATTATCTAGGTGGTGGGCAACCGAATAAGCAGGTAAAATAGGGTTGCTGACAGCTGATTCCAGGGTAGAGGGATCCCTTGTGAGAAGTGTGTACGGGGTCGTGCAGAAGTTATCACCTATGGATCCAGCACAACAAGTATGCGATATCATTGACAACATGCCAAACAAGTGACAGAGAAGGCGGAAATGTAAAAATGCACACGGTTCGCAACCAGTCGGAACCCTGCACACAGAGTCGACGACCACAGGAATATGGTCTTGAAAACTCTTATCAAGTTGAAGCGCATGCGACACGCCCTCCAGGTTCCGTGGAAACACATAGAACGCAAGAACGAAGATGCACCTAATGTAGCGTCCCGTAGTGGGCGTAAGTCTAACAAATTGTCTGACTTCATACAACTAGTTGAGGGAGCCTAATGGCACATGGAATATCCTGACGCACTGAGAGGTATCAGTGTCGGGAAAGCTGCGAATCACAGCCAACGCTGTTATTGAGTATGCGCAAGTGTGTTCACCAAAATAGGCAGGGAATTTGAGTTCACTGGGATCTCGTTTAATCTGGTAAGTGCCGGATGTACGTAGGTATTTGGAACGTAATTCTTGGAGAGTTTTAAACAGTGAATGGCTCATAAACTCACAGACGGCTTAAGGACTAGATGCCCCTATGCTTCGACATGTTGCTTGTCACGCAGTGACAGACGTCAGGCTACAATTAATGATTTGGTTAGAACAAACGAATAACTTTTTCGCATAAAGAATTTATGTCGCACGAAGACAAAATCACTGCATGCAATGCAAACACGTGTCTAATGGAGAAGTATCTGTTTGGTATGCTTCTCGGACGCCTTACATTTACATAATAATAATAATAATAACATAATAATAATACTGCATATTCTCGTGTTCAAGAGACATGCTCTTTTCGGCATGCTCAATTTGTTAGTTTCGTCCAAATGTAAGATAGAAATATAATTCGTTTTTTACATTCATGATTGCCCAGCCCAGAGTGCCGAATGGGCATAGAATACTTAATGGCTTCTCGACGGAAAGTTCCGGTTGCGGAAGCTGCCAAATCTGATTTGCCTTTGGTGATTGCATGGTGAAAAAGGTGCATTAAATCTGCAACGCAAAAGTATGGAATACATACACATCTTGGCTAAAATAGTTTTTATAAATGTGACGTTCAAAAAAGATATAGTAGAAGAAGAAGGTATTTAGTTGTTTTCAACTCTGCAGCTGTACATGCAGGCCTAAACAAACAGAAGGAAAATTGATTTAATGTTGGTGAGGCAGACGTCAACTGGCTGATACGTCTTGTTCCAATTGTACACTAGGTGTGTACGAGCAAGAGAAAAAATCGAACATATATATGAGAAAAGAGGATGAAGATGTAGAAAGTAGAATCATTTAACTTCCCTTTGTTGCCGGAAATGTTTGCAGGAGTGTCACAAGGGAAAGGTGGTCGAGTAAATAATAACAAATGGTGTAATTGAATGAAAATGGGTAGATCCAGTAAGTGTTTCCATCCCAGTTCACATATTTTAGTATGGTTGTAAAGTAGGCGTGACGGAGTAAGCAGAATATGAAGTGGAAAAATTGGTAAGATCAATCTCATTTTGCAATTCTTCTGCAGCCAACACTTATTGGTGTTTACAGAAGAGTAGTAGGGGAGTTGAATGCTATAGGTAGAAATTCGTCACATCTAGACTCACTCAGACAGCCGTCACACGCGCGGAAAAGCACTGTACGCGCGTTTCATCCTTTCGGAAATCATCAACAGTGCGCATTCCATCGGACCCTTGGTTGGGCTCGAACCCGCAACTCGACTGTTGCCAGTCCGTGGTTGAGACCACTGAGCTACGGGGGACGGCAACGACCATCGTGAATAAGTTACTAGATGTGATATAGCGCCGCTCACTATCCACTGACTTACACGTTACTGCCGTGCAGAGGACAGGGTAGCCCCCTCACCAAGCGACGAGCTTACCAAACTTAAGCCGCCAATTAACTTATGGCAACGGACTGGCAACAGTCGAGTTGCGGGTTCGAGCCCTACCAGGGTCCGATGGAATGCGCACTGCTGACGATTCCTGAAAGGATGAAACGCGCGTACAGTGCTTTTCTGGGCGTGTGACGGCTGTCTGAGTGAGTCTAGATGTGACGAATTTCTACTTATTGGTGTGCTTGTGAAATAGGCTTTAGCGAGTAAAGAGCGTCGAGTGAAGGAGTTCATCTTACCTTTTAAGGCAACTATTCATGAGGGTCTGGTCAAATACGATGGAACACTGGAATATTACGAGCACAAAATCAGCTACTTAACAAGTCCCGTATGATGGCCAGAAGGAGAACCAAAACGTGGTGAAAAGAAAACAAAGTGATCAAATGAAAATCGTTTTGGTGGACTCACAACAGAGGCATGCAGAAAGGAGTCAACCTCGATTGTGTATGTTAGTGCAAGTTGTGTAACGTTCGTCATATTATATAGTCCGTCGAGGCACACAGGCTATAGTTCTTAATGCAGATGGATTAATGCAAAGTTAAGGCATTTTTAAACACAGGTAAAGTGGGCGCACAAACAAAGTAATTTGGGAGGGCGTTCCATGGCTGACAGACAACAGGAGAGTAAAAGTTTCCCCGACATTCTAGCCAACTGTACTGCGTCGCCAACGTGAGCTGGTGGCCCCTCAATTTCGTGCTGTGACTGAGTTGTAGTATGTGGCGGAAAAAGTGGTTGGAATTTCCCAAAGTCTGATAAGCCATTAATAGATCGCCACATAGACGCCGATACTAGTCGCTGTACAGTCTGTCCTCAGCATAATTTAAAAGGAAGACGGAACAACCCTCTGAGGTGCTTTGTGGCTCTCTGTTGTGGAGTCTCGAGCGATTCTGGATCTTTATTTTGACAGGGCTACCGGGCCTAGATGGCGTATTCTACATGAGGCCGCACGTATGTATTAAGCAACTGCGAACAGAAAGAGAGATGAACCCGCCAGAATGTCCTCCGCAGCATGCCAACGTGTTGGTTTCCAGTCATTGACACCTTCTGAACAGCCATGATCAGCCTGGATTTATACCCAAGGTCACGCTACTGGGTGAGTGCTTGCGGGACATAGTCGCCAAGCTTGTATGTGACGTTCGGTTGGTGAAGAATATGTACTACCTTACAGTTAATTGAATTAAACTGGAGCAGAT